TGACTACACCATGTTATGTACGAGAAGCTGCAAAAGACACAGGCGCAAGTGGAATGCAAAAAAACATGGTGAAATTAATTTTTAAGTAAATATAATGGGCGATATATTGCGTCACCAAAAATGATTGAGGTCATGTACATATATTGCGCGATAAGTCGATATATTGATTATTGCGACAGGCTTAGTAAAATGAAATTAAAATGCCAACGACACGTTTCTAAGGACAGTCGGTTCCCTTCAGATACATTCAAATAAAGACATCCGCGCCGCGTTTTGACTTGAAAAGTGCAGCGCTCATATTTATTCAATGACGTCATTGCCTTTTGAAGTTTAATCCAGCCGTATCGCAACTCTTGTCTTTTCGTCCCCAACTGTAAGACCTCTTGAAATTATAATTAAGACATTTCTTATACCATTTAACATATTTAAAACTTTTTATGGCCTTAAGTTTGATACAACTCACTTTAGGAGTTTTTAAAGACCCGTGGGAGATCAGTATTTAAGATAGCCCGTCGGGCAGAGTGGTAATACATTTTGGCAGCCCGACTGGAAAACACAATAGCCCCGGGATGTCGGGTTAGCGATTTTGCGAGCCCTGATAATATTTTTTAAAACATTGCACAACTCTATAGTAAATTGTTTTGCTGTATAAAGCGCCTAAAGGGTAGGGCTGGGACAATAAATCGATGCATCGCGTTTCGTGGATCGATTCTGAGATTTTCGGACTGCATGGTGATTCTCTCTCGAATTGATTCTGAGCTTAGTTTTTAACAGTAGATGGCGCTCTAGGCTAGTTTTTAACCGCACACTCAAATGCTCACGAAGAAGAGCGCTTGTGCGTTCAGCTGAGTCATGTAAGTGGTTAAATGTACTTGCACATCGGCTTTTATGCTTTATGATGACATTAATGTAAACACAGCCCACTGTGAACATCCTTGTAATTCGCATTACGGCCAGATGGCCCGGGGCCAGCGTAAAACACCACTGCTGTGTCCTCACGAAAGTTTATCATTTGCACGTGTTTTTAAAGCTTTGCCAATTTAAACATTCAATTGATTTAAAAGCATTAGAAGAGGCAAAAAGCACACAAAGCGCAAGACGATGTGAAAGAGAACTCCATTCAGCACTCGCGTGAAACCCGAACTGAGTTTCTCTTCCGCGTCTTCTTGCACTTTATCGGACAAACACACCTGGCCAATTTGAACATTAAAGCGATTTTAACACATTCAAGCACAAGAAGAGGCGACTAACAACTCCATTCAGTGTGTTCTGTGTGCACAGCGCACACATATAAAGCCGTGTCTCAGGAAACACAATCAAGCCCTGTATGGAGTTTCTTTCCGCGTCTTCTTGCGCTTGACAAATGTGACCCTGGAGCACAAAAGCAGTCTTAAAGGCTGATTTATACTTCTGCGTCGGACCTACGCCGTAGCGTACGCATAGACGCACACCCATACGCCGTAGCCTGACGTGCACCTCTCCAAAAATCTAACAGCGCGTCAATTCTACGCAGACCGCAAGTGCTGTGATTGGTCTGCAAGAACTCCATATGTACTTGAGTTTTGTGTGTTTATGTGCACTTTAATATATTTTAATGTTACACCTTCTTATATAAAATAAAACAAAGCAAAGAACAAGTGTCTTATCATTTATTATACTACATAGCATTATACTCACGTGGTGTGACGCTCTGCGTATTATCCCGCTCTATGCGTGTGCGCTCTGCTCAGCTCCACTCATATACCGTTCATGCTCATCGGAACAGCAAAGTCCACTCAATTTTTGAGTGGACTTTGCTGTTCCGATTCGCATGAACGGTATACGAGTGGAGCTACTGAGCGGAGCGCACACGCATAGAGCGGGATAATACGCAGAGCGTCACACCACGTGAAAGTGAAACCTGAGCGGTGAACTCATTTTCGGCAGCCGAAATTTCGGTGCATCTCTAATTATTGGCGACATCAGAAATGGATATTATATAATAGATACTTTTTTTGAACATTTTAGCAATTTAAAAATATAAAAAAATGATTTTTTACACGGCACCCCTGCTCTCGACAGGTGCCGCGGCACCCCGGTTGGGAAACACTGTATTAGACCCATAAACTGTGTTTAAAGTGACCACGCCTAATTTACCAACTGCTGTCGGTGTCCTTAATGTTAATTAAGCTTAACGATTAATCTATATATTTAATTCATAAAGTGAAGAATATGCAATGCTATTTTACATTGAAGTATTCAGTTTCTGGACTTGAACACCTACAAATCTAAAAATCTAAAGCAGTGATGGGCAAACTTGGCCCTTCCAGGCCACTTTCCTGCAGAGATTTGATCCAACCCTGATATGACTTACCTGCCTGTAGCCTTCTAGTAGTCTTGAAGACAATGATTAGCTGGTTCAGGTGTGTTTGATTAGGGTTGGAGCTAACCTCTGAAAGAAAGTGGCCTGGAAGGGCCAAGTTTGCCCACCCCTGGTCTAAAGCATCTTTAATTTGTCTCATCAATGTTCTATTCATTTATTTGTGCGGTTGCTTGTAATTTGTTCATTAATTTTGTTCTTATTTACTGACTGTTCACTTGTTTTTCACTGGGCTTGTGTTTGTGTTTCAGACTCCAGGAGCTGGAATCAGAAGAGGAACGGAGTCAAGAAGCCCATAGACAGACGGCCGGAGAATGGAGTGAGTCTGCCTGCACTTGTGTGGCTTTCCTTTCCTTGTGTAACGTGATCCCGGTGTTTGACTCCCACATCTGAAAGCACGAGAGGAATGCAGTCTAGTCGATCAGGAAATGGATGAGCATGTGATGATTTCAGAGCCTGATGTTTGTGTGCACAGGTGAGCAGCCCGTGGATGGACATGACTCTAGCAGAGCTGCAGGAGATGGCTTCCAGACAGCAGCGTCAGATTGACACCCAGCAGCAGCTCCTGGCCTCCAAGGTACAGGAAAACACATCAGAACGGGGAAAAAATCACTGAGTAGATTAGAGAAGAACGGGAAGAGAGCACAACACTAGGTAGGGCTGGGAACCGAAAAAAATACAGTGGGAGATGTGACCAAAATCTTATTTCACAATATAATATACTGTAAGTAGTATTATTTCATGATAACTATGTGCATTACAATGTAGATACTTATCTTTGTTATTTAAATATAAGATCAAGGATGCAAATTACATAAAACAACAGGATAAATACAACGGTGATGTGTTCCTCATCATGTGCTGTGCGTGTTTGTGATGATGCAAGATGAGATGGAAATGCGGCAGGTTTTGTAACAGAGCTTTTATTGGAATCAGGCTGATATGAAGTGAGCACTGAATGTGCATCAGGTGGTCAGTGAATGTGAGCATCCCGCTGTCCTCTCACTGTCCCGCAGGAGCAGCGCTTGTGTTTCCTGAAGCAGCAGGAGCACAGGCATCTGCAGACGTCCTCGCAGCAGAAGAAACTGCAGCATCTGAGGGACGCGGTGGAGAAACAGGAGCCGCAGCTGAAGATGGTGCGAGCTCTGAAGGGACAGGTGGAGCAGAAGCGCCTCAGCAATGGGAAACTCGGTGAGCGTCGCAGCGCTGCTCGTTATGATCTCCAGCAGTCTTGCTGCTGATATAACATACGTGTTTTCTTGGAGATTAAAGTGAGGTCTGCGTAATGAGCTTTTCAAAAGTACACCGTGCCTTCCTCATGATGCACTCAGCGCTCTCTGTTTGACAGTTGGTTAAATATTTTGCATCATTTATAAAGATGTGCACAGAATGCTTCTAGATGTAAGCATACAGTAATTTCCTAAATGTTCTTAGGAACATATGCAAAGCATTTCTAAGTGCATCGTCATGAATCATGTGCGTGTTAACTAGCACAAAATTTAGCAAGCTCCTCTAAGAAAATTGGAGCAGCCATGAATGATTCATTTGACAATCAACAATAAACTCATTCATTGACTGTGTTTCTTAACTCTGCACACCATTCTCCGGTCAAGGTCCATCTCCTCATTAAACCTTTATTTCCAGAAACGTTTGCATGCTCCAAAAAGACTACGGATAGAGGAATATTCCTGCATTATATTCTTTCACCTTCACGGTTTATTCTGAATAAACTGCTCATTCTCCTCCTGCTCTTCTGTTGTCTCTTGCCATTCAAGTTATTTAAATAAACTCACGATGCCATACGATTACTGATTTCACAATATGATTTTCTCACGATTATAAAAAAAAGGAGTAAAGACAAATAATAAATGAAAAGGTGTAATTTTATTGTTTCTCAGACAAAATGCTGCACATTTCTTTGTGAAACTGAAATGTCAAATAATAAAACTAAATTGAAATTTTAAAGCAAATCCCAAATCAGATAAATACAATAAAATAAATCTCTTCATATGAGCAAACGAAGGCTTTGTCTGTGCTCTTTCCATTTAAAATGAGAGGCAACCACTGCATTTTAATCACAATCCAAACAAAGACTCTGCATACATGCAGCATGAGCAGTTTCTGATTTAAAATTGATTGTATAATTTCGAAATCTGAAGCATAAACGGAATGCTTTGTGAAACTGTACTGCACGAGACGGAAACAGCAGAAGCTCTGAATGAGACGCAGATTCTCTCTCTGACAGCAGGAGGCGCTCATGGAGCAGCAGCGATACAACGTTTAACTTGGTTACCGCTGTAAACAAAGCAGCACTGTGCTGAAACACAGCTTTAATATGAATTATACAGAGACGAGATGAAAAGAAAACGCCATCTAAACTTTTCTGAAGACAGTGAGTTCCCCTCAGAGATACATTCATATAAACCCCCTCCAGCAGCTGTATCGTGATTCGTTTAACATCTCAACAGACACGAATCCTCTTGAATTGAGTGCATCGTTACATCCCTAATTCATTCCCTTGTTTATAAATCAATAAAACGAGAGAATGATCGAGTGCAATGTGGCCACGATAACTGTTTTTTTTTGCCTGCATGTCATGTGTGGTGCTCCTAAATATGACCACATTCATGTGACTCATTTGAATATTCTTGTGTACATATAAGTGGTCATCTCATATTCAGTGTTTTCAGCGCAGGCCCAAGGATTTTGAGCTCGTGCAGTGGAAGTTATTCTGTCTGTGTGTTTGTTTCAGTTGAGCAGGTGGAACAGATGAACAATATACTCCTTCAGAAGCAGAAAGAGTTGGTAGTCGCCGTGTCTAAAGTGGAAGAACTGAACAAACAGCTGGACACCCTGAAAAACGGCCAGCTGGATGCGCTTCACAGTAACCACAGCTCAGTGGCCGAGCTGGACAGACTCTACAGGGAACTACAGGTAAGAGCAGGGGAGAGTTAGGAGAACATCACAGCCTCGGGCCTCTGCTCGAAACATCTCACGTGTGTGTGTGTGTGTGTGTGTGTGTGTGTGTGTGTGTGTTCACCAGATGAGGAAAAACTTTAACCTGGAGCAGAGCGCTAAACTGCAGCGGCAGAGAGACAGCCTGAACAAGAGGAACCAGGAGGTGGACACCATGGACAGACGAGTCGGTGAGCTGCGAGATCGCTTGTGGAAGAAGAAAGCAGCCCTTCAGCAGAAAGAGAACCTCCCCGTGAGCGTGAGCCATTTTCTCTGTTCACACCAGCCCATACTTTAATGCGAATTTGATGAAAAGTCTTCCTTTACATTCATGCATTCGCTTTTATCCAAAGCACATTACAGAAGAGGAACAAAGCAGTTTGTCAAAGAGCCAGCAATAGTCATAATACACAATGCCAGGTTTATTAGACAACTAGATTAGGAAGCAAGCTACAAGAATGGGAAAGATGCAGAGGAAATGTTCTTTTGGTTCAGTGCTTGCAGAAGAGGAGCGTCTTCAGCTGTGATGGTCTCAGCAGTTCAGGTGGAGTTTGGCAGCTCAATGCAGCAGAGAGGAACAGAGAGGGTGAAGGTTTTGGACCGTGACTTTTTGCCTCATGATGAAGCTGTCACTCATTCAGTGACACTCACTGTAAAGTTGTTATATATAAAGCTGTCAGTAAAAGGCTTATATAGGCTTTTTCCTTCTCAAAACGTAAACAGTGAGTTTTGAGAGGCTATGTGATATTGTGAAAAATGTAAGAAAATGAAGAACAAATTTTGAAGTTAACTTGATTTTATGAACTCAGTTCAGTAAGTGCCTTCTACTAGAACATATTGTACATATGAGTCAGAGGAATCAAATGATTTTAGCTAGAGCAAAGGTTTTTGGTATATTTTTTTGTACCTCTTTTGGCCTGTAGATGGCACTATGCTGAAGAACAGAGGCCTTCAGAGCATGTTTATACGTTTTATACAAAGTTTCATTTAAATACACAAAAGCTACAGCTTCAATTATTGTGTGAAAAATCGAAAAAGTACTACTTTTGGAAAGTCAAAAATTATCCCAATAACAAATTTCCAAATTTCATTCCAATACAGCTGTTTGTAAAACAGTATTTTGAAAATTCCCAAATTCAGTCGGGGCAATATGGATGACTCTGGATGTTATACCACAGGACTCTGAAAAGAAACCGGGATCATGGACCGATTTGACAGATTTTATAAGTAGGGATTAGGGGTGGGTGATATGACCAAAGTTTTTTCATGATATGAATATTTTTTTCACTTTAACAATATTTGTCACAATATAGTTTTTTTTTTTTGCTTTAAATAAGGTCTTTATGATATCAACATTTTTGATACTATAGAAGTGTCTTCATTCTTGTCACCAGTGTCAATATCACAAAAAAAAAACTAATACTAGCCTAAAAAAAAAAAAAAAAAAAGACAAGTAAACAGTCAGCGATTTAAATAAGAATAAGAAACTAATTACAAGCAATAGGACAAAAAGCAGTAAAGCAGTAGAACAAATAAATAAGAAATGCTGCATTGTATAAAGTAATCAAAAGTATAAAAACACTGCATATTCTTCACTGTGCAAATTAAATATATATTTCTTATTAAAGTTACAAAAGTGATTTAGTCAAGAACAGCGAGAGATTTTCTCTTTTGTTTGATTGACTTGAATGACCGACAGACTGCTGTCACTTTAAGATGCGAGTTCTCTTTTGCTGCTGATTGGGTTTCAACGGCTTAAAATCACTTGATTTTAAACCGCAGTGCTTAAAAAAAAAAAGTGTGAAAACAATGAGTTTGCGTGACCACGTAGCACAGCAACGTCATGTGTGTAACTGCGATATTTCCACCGGTTAATCGAGTCTACCGGTATATCGCCCACGCCTAGTACGGATGTAGGTGCTTAACAGGCTTAAAGGGGTCATATGATGCTTTTTTAAAGATCATTATTTTGTGTATTTGGTGCATTATGCAAATATTCCCACATAGTGAGGTAGATATGTGGGGGCGTGTTAGAACGAGCCGTTTCAGGGGGGCGTGGCTGACTCTTAACTTTGATAAAGAATATCTCTTTGGTTTTGAGACTTTAGTCTTTGCAACTTCAGGGATCTTATCTATGCACATCAGCTTGTAACACTCCAAAGAGAAAGGAAAACTTGAAATCGCATCATAGGACCCCTTTAACATTGTTTATTTTGAAAACAATTATTTACTGTTGCTTTAGATTTTTAGAAAAAGCTAAATATTTGGATTAATGTGTATAGTAAAATCAGTATCAGGCACACAGAGTCCATAGTGATTTCATATTGTCCTCGTTTAGCTATGATCGGTGTGTGGTTTCACTGCTGATATGTTCTTATTCCAGTTGCCTTCAGATGGCCAGACAGCACAGCAGACAGGACCGGCCCGTGTGGCTGCTGTCGGTCCTTATATCCAGTCCTCTACGATGCCCAGGGGCCCCTTTAAACACACTTACCCAGAAGGCACAGCGACTGTACCACATCAGGACAAGACCACTCACCCGGACTCAGGTTTGCAGATCACTGGTTTACCCGACCCAAAGAACTATGCTGTCTGTTCAGTGTGTTCAGTTAGTGTGTTCTAATTATTAAAAATGAATTATTGCCTCTGCTTTATATTTATTTCTAAAACTTCATGTTTACTGCAGGTTAGCAGTAGAGATGGCAAACATGCACACAAAACCATGTTGATCTGATTTCCCTGTATCTTTGTGTTGGGTTCTGATTGAGATGCTGTAATTATTTTATATTGTGCATTCAGGCACAGATGAACAGTTAGCAGCTTTATCAAAAGAGACTAAAATAGCAAATATAATTTGGTACAATATTACAAGAAAACAGTAACTTAGACTTGATGGCTAGCATTTGAAAGTTACTATGCACTGTACACATCTTATTCTCCTAATTTTTGTTCTTTTTTTTATACAGACTTTTTTTATACATCTGGCAGATGTTCCCATAGCATTTTGTTTTCTACATAGAGAACCAGTGTTACATATGTAACGGAGATGATCATTTTAGAATATAGAAAATGATCCTATGCATTGAACTTTAAATTTCAATTTAAGTTTTTATTCTTTTAAGGACCTGGTGGTGCACAGGCGTGTTGTTGGGAGAGACATTTCAGTCTAACTCTGTTCATGTAGCTCAGCTAGCAGAGCACCGAGCTAACAAAGCCAAGGTCATGGCTTTGACTCCCATGGGAACACATTGATAAAATGTGTACTTTGTTTGCCCAGTGCATAAGTGTATGTGTAAATGATTCGTTTTTGACAAAATATGCAGTTACTGCACTTTGCCTTTGTAAGAATAGACAAATCTACAGAAAAGACAGCATTTTTAGTCTGTGGTCCAGTATGCAGGCTTGTCTAATCCATTAATTCAGAGAGAGTGTTCTGTTTAACAGACAGTTCACTCAAAAATGAAAATTCTGTCATTTACTCTTCATGTCGTTCCAAACCCATAAGACTTTGGATCTTTGAAACACAAATAAACATATTTTTATATGATTTCCATCCCTCCATTGAAAGTCACATACAGTGAAGATCAAAATTAGAGAGCAACCTACAATTTCCTAAATTTCAAGGTCACTGCTTAGTCCTATTTGAAGTTATCCTAACAGGAGTAGAAGGGCAGTTTTTTAAGCATATTTCATAAAGTAATTGTATTCTGAAGCACAGTATTAAAAACTTAAATTAGATATTTGAAAAAGAACTCCGATCAAAATTAGAGAACACTTACAGATACCTCCCAGTTATTGAGGTTAATCTGGCACCTGGTGCCAATTTCCTTAATTATCTGACAAACCCTATTTAACTGGCAGCATTCCTTCAGTTTTCACTGAGATTGCAAGATGGCGGTGACTGAAACCATGTAACAGGAGGTGGTCCAGGTGAAAGCCAAAGGGATGACCCTCTCAGACATTGCAAGAGAAGTTGGTCGTTCCAAATCTGTGATCTCTTAAATATTGCAGCTTTACAATGACACTAATTCATTCAAGTCCCCAAAAAACGTCTGGTAGTCCACGAAAGAAAAATGCACAAGAAGACAGGATAATATGGAGACTCTCAATGGGGAATCGGTTCAGCACTGCAGCTGGAATTGCTCGCCAGTTCAGTGCTGAACAGGGTATGGATCTGTCTCGGCACAATTAAGAGAAGTTGGGCTGAAAGCGCACTCTTGCAGTGACCAAGCCTCTCATCAGCAGAGAGAATCAAAAGGCTAGACTCATCTTTGCTGAGGAGCATGTTGTGTGGAGAGAGGAGAACTGGTCCAAAGTTCACTTTAGTGATGAGAGCAAGTTTAATTTATTTGGGTCTGATGGGAAACATTTTGTTTGGCGTCAAACTGGGGAAGGACTGAAGCCCGAGTGCGTAAAGAAGTCAGTGAAAGGTGCAGGAGGAAGTGTCATGGTTTGGGAGATGTTTTCTGCAGCAGGAGTTGAGTCTCTTATACAGATACATGGCAGGTGAATGCAAATGTTTATCAGAACCTCCTTCAGCAACATGCGGTTCCTTCCCTGCAAGCATCTCCCAATCAGCCAAAGACAAGGCTCCCCGTCACACTGCAAAACAGGTAAAGCAGTTCCTTGAAGCTGAAAATATTGAAATAATGAAATGGCCGGCCCAGAGTCCTGATCTAAACCCAACTGAAAATCTTTGGAAAATTCTTGATGACAAAGTTATGGCTAAGAATCCCACTACAGTCACCGAACTATGGAAGAGACTGGAAGAAGAGTGGACCAAGATCACAGCAGCGCAGTGCGAGAAACTACTGATGTCCTACGGCCCCAGATGTGCTGAAGTTATTCAAAGCAGGGGCCTCTACAATTCCTACTCATTTCTGAAGGCTGTAACCCTCCAAAATTTTAGTTGCAATCTTCTTTCGTGCTACAGTGGTTATTGTTCTCTAATTTTGATCTCTGTGTTTTCCACAAAATAGGCTTTTGTTGAAATGCCTTGGTTATTTTGTCAAACATGTTAGTAGAACAGTGGTATACCTACAGCTAATATTCCTTCAAATTTTAAGCGATGAAGATTAACAATATTTCATAAAAAAATCAAGTATTTATAGATTGTTCTCTAATTTTGATCTCCACTGTATATCACATAAACATTGATCGGCACACATACATAGAGCGCATAAACAAGCTAAAATGTGTGAGAAACAATGAGGTTTGTTCTCGAGCGTCAGGCAAGTGCGATTGAGCTTCTGTTTTTCCTCTTTATAAACTTTTTGAAGCCTCAAATTTTTGCTTACATGGACTTTCAAGGAAGGGACAGAAATCTCTCTAAGTTCTCATTAAATTATCTTTATGTTTCGAAGATGAATGAAAGTGTTACAGGTTTGGACATGATGGTAAGTAAATGATGACAGAATGATCATTTTCTATTTTTGGCAACTGTAAAGGCCCTTTCACACCAAAATTGAAATTAATAAGCCTCAGGCTCAAGGAAGTGCCTCTGCCCCTCACTCACAATATTTTCTTGTAAATTTAAAAGTAATGTGTTACTTTACTAGTTCCTTGAAAAAAGTAATCTGATTCCGTGACTCGCGTTACTTGTAATGTGTTAACCCCAACACTGGTGGTTGTTGCTACATATACAGAGTTCTGGCATGAAACTCTAGATGGCGCAGGTCTAACTGGTCTAACTCAATAGGTCTAACTCAATCTGACCTAATGACATCATTATCACATGGCACAGCTGACTGGTTCTCTCCTGTATTGGTAGCCAATGAGCTTGCTGCTCAACATTCAAATATATGACTAGTGCTTGCTGTAGCAGTTTGCAGCTTGCTTCAGAAACCCTCCACCTTCCCCAGCTCCACCTGTATAGATCTGCTACGAGGTGATTCATGTATGCTATATGGGGGTTATTTCATGTATGTTATATTTGCAGCAGCAGTATTTCTTACATGCTCACAGCAGCATGTTGTGGATGTATTGGCAGTAGCAAGTCTCGGTACTTGCTCTGCCGCAGCAGTGTAGCAGATCTATTCCGCCAAGACCAAATACATTAACATTGTCATGTACATTAACATGCCAATCCCTCCGAGAGTTGTCATGACAGAAATGTGATTGTGTGTTCATGATGACGCAGTTTAAGGGACCTCACTCCTATACAGTCTGAATTTGACCATTATCATCAGAATGAGACTGAAATGTAATTCTGTCTGTCATGTCTGCATTCAGGCAAGGTGTCCTCAAAGAAGCTTAACTGGAGTTCAGCCGCTACGAAGACAGGCGGTAATCTTGGGTCGTCCAGTCTGCCACGTATGGTGACCCAGGCATCTAAAAACCAAGGTGACCCTCTACACCTCGCATCCCCATTGAATGTGTAACACCCAGTTAGTCTCTGATTAAATGTATTGTGAATTCTTCTGCTCCCTATACCAGATAACACAGAGGTGCTGAAGCGGGACCCCAGGGTGCGCCCGGTCTCCATGTTTGAGTCCATTGATCCACCGGCAACTTCTTTACGGAAGAACCAGAGCAGCGAGGACCTTGCGTCTCCTTACACTCAGAGCGCTGTCAAGAACACAGTCAAGGTTCCTCCTCCAGTTCCGACTAAACCGAAACAGGCCAACCTTCCCTCTGGTGGCCAGATGGGATACGGCAAGGGTGCCCTCAGCGCCGGTACCTTCCCTGGGAAGAGTAAACCTTCCACTCAGCAGCTGCCCACTGGATCCCAGTCTGGTAGTACTTTACCTCTTCCCTCCAAACAGGAGGCTCCCCCAGCTGCCACTGTACACCCCTTCAGCCTCGAGCCTCCTGGGGCCAAAGACTCTGGTGGGCAGGTCCTGCACAAGCCCCAGATGCTGACCACCAGCTCCATCTACTCCATGTACACGCAGCCGCAGGGAGCGCTGAGCCGAGCCCAGAACCAGAACCGTGGCAGCAACTTCATCAGCGGTGAGTGAATCATTGGACACTACAACACACATGACTGGATTCATCCCAACGGCCCGTTCACATCAGAATAATAGATGCAGGAACACTATCAGAACAACAGAAGAGTAGGAAAGTTGCTCACACTTTATGTGAGGTGGCCTTAACTATTATGTACTAACATTAAACTATGATTTACTGCGTAACTACATGTTGTTCTGGAAAATTCCAACCATCACTAATGAGTTTGAGGAATGGTTAGGTTTAGCAGTAAGGGTTGGGTTACGGTTAGGGGTTAAGAGTGTCGCTACAAATGTTAACTAAATGCAAGTACTTTAAACACATTTACTGCACCAACTTGTATGTTTGAAGTCATTTGCATGGTGGAATGTATTTCAGGTGGGATCATTGAAGGTCAGCAGCAAAAAACACTTGGTAAATGAAGTGAGCGCAAATCCATAAACTGTATTTGTATTATTTAATACACTGTATCTTAGAGTTTACAAGCCAGTACCTCCTCTGGTCAAATCAGAACAAGTACCACCTAGTCACAATATTGATCCTTCTGTTTGATATAAATATTACTGTAGTTAAAGGGGACATCGGATTAAATTTTCACTTTTTTTTAAATTTTTTTTTTATTTTTTTAGCTTTTTTTGTATTTAGTTAGGATTCTGGCTTGTCTGCCAGCTCAGAAAAGCTGAAAACACGCAGCCAGTTTGTTAATGGGCTGTCTGAGTTTGAAAATGTCATCCAGCGAGCTGTTTTTCTATGTATATAGCTAGCTATTTGAATAAGACCACCTTTAAGCCATATACGGATATATTCACGGGTCTTGTGTCGACGCCCCACGGAAGAGAGCTACTTGCGTCTGACCTTGACGGACTGAACAGAAGAAAATGATCAGAAAACATTCCCACATAAAAGTAGGCGGAGCCCCAGAGCACACCTGCCTATTGTGTAATAACCACAGAGCACTGGTAGTTTGAAGGTGTTCACCAGCGAACTTTTCTGGAATGTTTGCTTTGGCAAGCTGTTTCTATCACCCGAAACAAACTCGAAACAAACTTAATTTTGGCCTGATTTTGTTCAAAATGACATCACATCAGTTTGTTCTTTGATTTTGCTTGAAAGTATATCAGGGTCTTAAACTAGCTTTCTAATAAACTTGGCGCTGTGCACTATGAATAATGTTGGTTCTGTGACAAATGGCGTTGGATGAAAGCGTGAAAACAGTATAAAAACATAAGATTATTTGTGATTATTTTAATCATGATTTTGATATTAGAGTTGTTTTTGTCTTCATGCACATGCAGTTTATGGGAAACCAGTGACCCCCGCAGGCCAGCAGTCTCAAAACCAGCACCCTGAGAACCCGTACCTGGACTCGTCCAGTGGCCCAGAAACAGAGAAGGACCACAGCGCTGGAGGATCTGAGAGCGAGCGCATCCCCAGACCTCTCAGTCCCACCAAACTGCTGCCCTTCATCTCCAACCCCTACCGCTGCCAGAGCGACGCTGACTTAGAGGCTCTCAGGAAGAAACTCTACAACGCGCCAAGACCCCTGAAGAAACGCAGCTCCATCACGGAGCCCGAGGGCCCGTGCGGCCCCAACATCCAGAAGCTCTTGTACCAGAAGACGACTCTGGCCGCTATGGAGACCGCAGTGAGTCCTCCTGGAGAAGAGAAGAAGGAGACGCCCGCAGATCCTCACAGAGATGATGAAGCTTCACTTGAGGGAGCAGAGCAGCCTGTTCCTGAGCCAGCGGTGTCCTCAGCCGCCCCAGACACTGACCGAGAGGACATCCCTCCTCCACCACCTCCACACCCGGCCCCACAGCCCCACGCTTCGTTTTTACCTCCACCGCCCCAGCCGGACAGCCCTCCACCTCCACCTCCTGACAGCTTCACGGAGGACTTTCCTCCATATCCTCCTCCTCCTTATCCCAGTGGCGCTGAGCAAGAGAATCCAGAAGACACGTTCAACATGAAGCCACCAGAGGTCACCGGCCAGGTTCCCTTCCCACCGGTAAGTGCCCTAAATAAGTCTTGACTCTACTGTATCCTGTACAGTATATACTTCAGTATTCATACTCTATACATTATAGACCTCAGCCAGCGGGATCTAGTTATCATCTCAAAATTAAATGCACTGTTTTTTCAGTCCAATTTTGATTAAAAGCATCTTTTGCCTGATCGAGTAGGTTCTGCCACTAGTCGAGATGGGTTTGTGTTGACGAGTCTTAAGTCACATGACTTTGGTTGCACTTGTTTTAAATAGAGACCACAGTAGGAACATTTCATGTCAAAATGCACGTCTTTTAGCTTTGTGTGATCACCTGCATGTTAAAGTGAGAAAGTGAACCAATGATGAGAGCCGAAATAAAACTAGTAGCCTCAACACACAGCTCCTCTGGGCATAATAAAATGAGGAATGGAATTTATGCTGCTTTAATAACTAATATTGGAGTACAACAAGAGGGAGAATGGGGAATGTACTCATTTAATTGACCAGCAGCCCTTTAGATTACATATAAAATGAAGAAGTTGTTAATTAAGGACTATTAGCAACAATAATGACAAAGGAAAAAAATAAACACTCATTAATCTGACCTAAATAATTTGAATATATTTCAGTTCCAGTTAATCCAAATGTTAACTCGAACTGTCAAGCGATTAAAATGTTCAATCTAATTAATTATACAAATTACACCACTAATTACACAACTTAACATTAATTGCTAATTATTCACACAGAAACTTTGGCTGAGAAATCACCCCCCCCCAACTAATTTTTAAAGCCATTGAGTACAACAAGAGGGAGAATGGGGAATGTACTCATTTAATTGACCAGCAGCCCTTTAGATTACATATAAAATGAAGAAGTTGTTAATTAAGGACTATTAGCAACAATAATGACAAAGGAAAAAAATAAACACTCATTAATCTGACCTAAATAATTTGAATATATTTCAGTTCCAGTTAATCCAAATGTTAACTCGAACTGTCAAGCGATTAAAATGTTCAATCTAATTAATTATACAAATTACACCACTAATTACACAACTTAACATTAATTGCTAATTATTCACACAGAAACTTGGCTGAGAAATCCCCCCCCCCCCAACTAATTTTTAAAGCCATTATTGTGTTCAAAAAGTAGCTTTAGAAAGAAATATTTTGATTTAACGTAGAATGTATTACACATTAACATTTAGGCTACAAAGGCCGAACATAAACTATTTTTTTAGTTAAGTTTTTTTTTTTTTTAACCAAATTTCTTCTATGTTCAGCAAAAGAAAGCAAGTAATACAGGTTTAAAACAACACTAGGGTGAGTACATAATGACAGAAATTTAATTTTGGGTGAACAATACCTTTGAGGTTTTATTAATATGGAAATATGAATTAAATAAGAAAATAAAAGTGCCAGTAGGTGGCAGTGAGTGTGTTAATGAATAAATCATTGAGTCATTCATTCATTCATTCATTTGATTTGTTAAAATGGCTGGTTGATTTACGAGTGAAGTAAATGGTTCTCTTTATGAACGAGTCATTGAATCATTGGTTCACTTGATTTGTTCAAAATACGGATTCATTCAGAAACTGTGTGTTGCTCAGAGACGCACAACAGTTCTGGCTGTGGCTTTAATAGGTAATATTTGCATTGAGCAAAAACATTTTTTTTTCTTTCTAAAATACGACACGATATTAAGTTCTTATTGAAAAGCTGTTTCTCTGTAATGTTCATTGGTGAGGTGAATCTTCATAGATTTCACACACACTGAAATGACTTGGAGAAATCTAAATTCTGAATAGCTATCAGCTGGAGATAGCAAATCTTCATTTTGTTGATAACAGAACAGTGCAAAAAGTGGATAGAAACTCTGAGACATCTGTGTAAAATGTGAGCTATAACATGCAATGGCTCACTGCCTGTTGATGCAAAGATGCTGTTCCGGTGCTCAGCCGTAGTATAAATGTGGTGTCGTTTTGTATCAAGTCAGTTCAGTTGGTTTCAGAGGCAAAACCTAGAGATTCTGTAGCGTTTGTAATGATGAATTTCTTCTGTGTTTGGAGATCTTGTCCTGTGTGATGATTGTGAAGTGATTGAGCTCCAGCCCTTCCTGTATAACTTGTAATAAATGCAAGTCGCCTTGGATAAAAGCATCTGTCAAATGCATGTGTTTTCTGTGCAGGGTAAAAGGACGAATCTGCGTAAGGCCGGATCCGAGCGCATCGACCACAGCATGAGAGTGCACTTCAATCCTCTGGCTCTGTTACTGGACTCATCGCTGGAGGGAGAGTTTGATCTGGTGCAGAGGGTCATTTACGAGGAAAGTCACATTTCACTGTTCTGTGTGTGAGAGTGCGACTGATTATTAGTGTTTTAGGTATCATGACTTCAGGAATATGGCAGTGGTATGATGAATGGGTGTTTTACAGGTTGAGGATCCCAGTCAGCCTAATGATGAGGGAATCACGGCGCTGCATAACGCAGTGTGTGCCGGCCACACGGAGATCGTTAAATTCCTGGTGCAGTTTGGAGTCAATGTTAACGCCGCTGACAGTGACGGATGGTGAGGAGCGTTTCATCAGATTGCATGTCGTACAGTCACACAAACAGTGTTCGTTCACATGCCTCCTCATCACTGAACAGTAAGACAGGAATTCAGGCTTTAGTGCAGCTTAAAATGTGAAAATCTGAAAATATTGACTGGTGTTGTGTTGTCGCGAGAGCGCGACTCTCATGATACAACACATACGCGCTGTACTGTTTTCTGCTTGCAACAACAGTACGGGTTGTATCATCAACACAACACGCATGAGTCGAGGTGCTCTCGTGGACCGGAGAAGAAGAAGAAGCTCTCGTGAACACGTGTAGGAGATTGAAGCGGAAGTGAAGACATTTATGAATATAGTCATTCTTTTTTGGCACACAAAAAGCATTCCCGTCGCTTCAGGAAATTACAGTTGAATCACTGGAGAAACATGGACTACTTCCACGATGTTTTTTTCTTTAAAACTTGTACGTTTTGAAACTATATTTATTTGGTTGATAATTCTTAACACAATTGTTTTGATTTTTTAAAATTTGTATTTATTTTAAAAAGTACTTATTTAATAAAAATGCACAAATCAATTTGGTACTCGGAGGCAGTAAACTCATTAATTAATAATAATTAGGGATGCACCGATACTGAGCTCCTGTACTCGTACTCGTTAAAATGCCCGATACCAAACGCCGATACCACACAGCATGTGATAAGCGCCATATTCAGACAAAGAAAAACTGACAACAGAACAACAGACAGCAGAATGGAGTTAAGGATGTCTACTACGAAGTATATGTATGCAATGAATATAATGTTAAACATTCAGTGTTAACGCCTGTATAGCTGATGTGCGCGAGCTGATAAACAAAGCACGCTGAGTGGATTGAGCGCGCGGCGGCGCAGATGCGCGAGCTTGTCGAGTGAATATACCTTTCTCACAGACATCACTGGAAAGTTTGTAGTTCGGTCGGATATGTCAAAAACAAGTAAGTAAAACAATGCACAAGTTACTTAACGGTAGAGAGAGAGAGACAGAGAGAGAGAGAGCGAGAGAGAGCACGCGCGCACTTCTGTTGTGTGATCTTTCATGTTCACTCACTTAGCACACGCATCATTTGGATTAAAACAAAATCGTAAAAATAAAACCATTCATAGGGGCATTCACTATAAACATCATTTATTTTCAACCTTAGGCATACACGACTTTCTAGCGAAAGTGAATCTAGCAGCCTGTGTGAAATGCGCTAGACTGTACTATTCTGCATCAGTACAAATACGTGCACGCGTTGCGCGTGTTTTGCTTGCTTCATGAGTGTTGCTGCATTATATGAGTGGCTTTTGAATATAAACCGCAGCACGTTTCAGATGAAAAAACGCGACTTCTATTTCTGAAAATATCACAGTTAGGAGATTTATAACGAGTGGTTCCCTGCATTATTACAGCAAAGCGCGTGATTACAGTACTAAGCCGCTGCTCTAATGCTATTAAATTAAAGATGATGTACCATAGAGCAAAAAAATGAACAGTGAAAGTAACAAAAACTTGTAAAATACATTTTAATGGGCATAATTAAGTGTGAAAATAACCGAAGGATATACAGTGAAACCAAAAATGATTCAGAGACCAGATATAATTTTTGATATTTTTTTACTAGTGGGTGCAGGACACTATAGTTCATTTATGTAAGTGAGGATAGCAAAATAAAGTAAACTGTGACAAATCATACCCAAAAATTCTTCATACAGTGGACTACCAGTAAAATTGATACAAATTTGGGTCCAAAAATTATTCAGACCGAGTCTGGGAAAAAAACTGAAGTTGAGGTTTTCATGAACCTGGGTGACAGCATGCCCAGGAGACTACAGGCTGTCATTAAGGCTAAAGGTTGCCCGACAAAGTATTCATAGTTGTGTAAATACTGTCATACTAACAGCTGTCTGAATTATTTTGGTTGATTGTAATCTATTACATACCTTTCTATCAGAATTATCTAGCATTATCAAGATGAATTTGTTCTGACACAGTTTAACTCTGAGTTCTTGTCATGTTTTATTACCATTTTCTAAACTATAACGAATAAACTGTGATAATGTGAGAAATGTTGAAGGTGTCTGAATAAATTTTGGTTTGACTGTATCTATTTGATAAATGAAGTTAACCAACTAACATTATACATACCCTTTTGGTTTCTGTACCCAATATTTAAAAAATGTACAAATGCAATAAAAATACCGGTATCGGCATCGGTATCGGCAAGTACCAAAAACGGAAAATATGCGTTGTAGTCCAAACGAGTCGTTCGTTGTAGTTTTTGAAAAGTGATTTCTGTTAAATAAAATATCTCCTTTTGGAGTGGACTTTGAGCTTTGTAACTTTGCAGATCTTTTTTATTAGGGATGCACCGATACCGATACTGGTATCGGTATCGGGCCCGATACTGGCCTCCTGTACTCGTACTCGTACTCGTTAAAATGCCCCGATACCAAACGCCGATACCACACAGCATGTGATAAGCGCCATATTTAAACAAAGAAACACTGACAATAGACAGCAGAAAGGAGTTATGGATGTCTACTACGAAGTATATGTATGCAATGAATATAATGTTAAACATTCAGTATTAACGCCTGTATAGCTGATGTGTGCGAGCTGATAAACAAAGCACGCTGAGTGGATTGAGCGCGCGGCGGCGCAGATGCGCGAGCTTGTCGAGTGAATATACCTTTCTCACAGACATCATTGGAAAGTTTATAGTTCGGTCGGATATGTCAAAGACAAGTAAGTAAAACAATGCACAAGTTACTTAACGGTAGGGAGAGAGCGAGAGAGAGCACGCGCGCACTTCTGTTGTGTGATCTTTGATGTTCACTCACTTAGCACGCGCATCATTTGGATTAAAACTAAATTGTAAAAATAAGACCATTTATAGGGGCATTCACTATGAATGTCATTTATTTTTAACCTTAGGCATACATGACTTTCTGGCGAAAGTGAATCTAGCAGCCTGTGTGAAATGCGCTAGACTGTACTATTCTGCATCAGTACAAACACGTGCAGGCGTTGCGCGTGTTTTGCTTGCTTGAGTGTTTCTGCATTATATGAGTGGCTTTGGAATATAAATCGCAGCACGTTTCAGATGAAAAAACGCGACTTCTATTTCTGAAAATATCACAGTTAGGAGATTTATAACGAGTGGTTCCCTGCATTATTACAGCAAAGCGCGTGATTACAGTACTAAGCCGCTGCTCTAATGCTATTAAATTAAAGATGATGTACCATAGAGCAAAAAAATGAACAGTGAAAGTAACAAAAACTTGTAAAATACATTTTAATGGGCATAATTAAGTGTGAAAATAACCGAAGGATATACAGTGAAACCAAAAATGATTCAGAGACCAGATATAATTTTTGATATTTTTTTACTAGTGGGTGCAGGACATTATAGTTCATTTATGTAAGTGAGGATAGCAAAATAAACTAAACTGTGATATATTATACCCAAAAATTCTTCATACAGTGGACTACCAGTAAAATGTATACAAATTTGTGTCCAAAAATTATTCAGACCGAGTCTGGGAAAAAAAGTTCAGGTTTGCATGAACCTGGTTGACAGCATGCCCAGGAGACTATATGCTGTCATTAAGGCTAAGGGTTGCCCGACTAAGTATTGATAGTTGTGTAAATACTGTCATAGCTGTCTAATTTTTGGTTGATTGTAATCTATTACATACCTTTCTATCAGAATTTTCTAGCATTATCAAGATGAATTTGTTCTGACACCGTTTAACTCTGAGTTCTTGTCATATTTTATTACCATTTTCTAAACTATAGCGAGTAAACTGTGATAATGTGAGAAATGTTGAAGGTGTCTGAATATATTTTGGTTTGACTGTATCTATTTGATAAATGAAGTTAACCAACTAACATTATACATACTCTTTTGGTTTCTGTACCCAATATTTAAAAAATTTACAAATGCAATAAAAATATCGGTATCGGTACTCGGTATCGGCAAGTACCAAAAATAAAAGTATCGGTATCGGGCGAGTACTGGAAAAAGTGGTATCGGTGCATCCCTAATAATAATAAAAAAAGAATCGGATTGTGAGATGCCAAAAAATTCCCACCCTGCTATCTAAACTAAATAAAACATCAGCATTGACTGAAACACTCCATGTTCCCTTTGAGACTTCAATATAAACACCTGCTTTTGTCATTGACTAATGTATTTGCATTATTAAGCTGTAATATAATATACAGGCAAAATTATAGAACAGTTTAAAGTCAAATCAATATTTCATGTCACCTTTATTGTATGAGTAGCTGTGTAATATGCATGATGATCTACAGACAGCTGGTTAGGGCTCATCATCACAAAATAAAGCCCTACAAGATTGTATCAGTGGTTTATCCCTGACATATCAAACAAACAACAGGTTTTCAATAAAACATAAAGTAAAAATAGATAATGATGTCCCTGTCCTCAGCCACATGCTGTTGTTTTGGAGGCAGTGTGTGACGTGTAACCGTGTGTGTGTGTGTGTGTTTAGGACGCCCCTGCACTGCGCTGCGTCCTGTAATAACGTGCAGGTGTGTAAGTTCCTGGTGGAGTCTGGGGCGGCTGTGTTTGCCATGACCTACAGCGACATGCAGACAGCAGCAGACAAGTGTGAGGAGATGGAGGAGGGATACGCTCAGTGCTCTCAGTTCCTCTACGGTGAGTTACTGCTGCTCCGCTCTCTTAGACTGTGACCGTCTACTCTCACATTCAGTGAAAAAGCAGTACGTAAATCCAAGTTCAAACTAAAAACACATCTTTCTCCGTTCCAGTGTTTAATGACAGATCACCACTTTATCATGTGCAGATCAAACCTGAAATGATGATGAGTAACTGGAAAACGAGTTGGAATTGGGCTAACAAATCCTAAACGAGGCCTTTGCCTCCTCATTTCAGAAAGCCACAGCTGTGACCACACTTCAGTTTAATTCAGAACGGTCTACAGACTATATTATTTGACCGTAGAATTTTTCTTACTTATATTTACTGAACAGCTTTCCACTGTTTCATTAAGCAGTAATCCATGTCCATGCATTGCTGTGGTTTTCACGCGGTTAAGTGTGTTTCTCCAGCTCATGCATGACAGCAACACTCAAACCTGTGGGGAAAAAGCTCTGTAACGCTCTGATCTTGAGGCTTATTTGCTTATGATTCCAGTGGCCCATAACACGACGCTAGCACAAACTTGAGGATGTAGAATTGGTTTAACACAACCAATCAAATCCAGCCTGCTTTCACTATAATCTTTCTGTCAGCTCGGGGTCTGATCCTGAGTTTTCGGGGCATGAGCACATGGAAGTGTGATGTTTATATGAAACCGCATCAGACATGGAAAGAGAATGTGAAAGAGCATGAGTCACTTCTGCTCTGAAGAAAATATGAAGAATATAAACGCATTTAGACAACGAGAATTGTCTGGGATCCTGGGAGATGCACATTTGGACCCCTGGTGTTGGGTTTGTAATAAAAAAAAATTAAGTAGTTGTTTTGCATGCACACTCAACCACTCTCTCTCAAACACACACTTGCAGTCAAACTAAACTTATAGACCAATTATAGGTTTGTAAACATTCAGGATGCGCGCACATCATGGTTGCAGAAAACCCGGGAGAGATAGCCTTTATGGCTAGAGAATTTCGACCATCTACTTGTTTGTCCCATTTGTATTGTTGTTGTTGTTTTTTTGGTGTTGCTGTTGATATGTTACAGTAATGGCCACTTTGTCTTTTTTTTTTTTTTTCACACAAAACAATTGAATAGAAATTAGCTGTTTAGAATGTACTTTATATTTGTATATCAAGAATTTTTCCACTGAGAAAAAAAATTTAATAGTGACCTGTGTTTTGCATCACAGGTATTTTGCATATGCTGTCCTTTCAGTGCTTTATTGAAAGGGAAGTGAAAGGAAATTCATAGTGTTGGAGATCTTCTGAATCGTGGGTAACATTTTTCTCATGCACAATGCTTAACAAATGAAATGAACTAGTTGTACAGTGCTAGTAAAGTGGAGTCAGAACAGTGAATTTCTGGCCCAGTAGTGAATATTCAGATAGTGAGTTACAGTATGTGTCCGGCACTGATCTCTCGCTTCATCCCATGACGCTCTGATCCGCAGTGCTGCAAACTGAGATGAGCGCAAGATGGGTATATTCATTTTGACAGACACGGCTTACATGATACATTATTTTCCTCTGTTCAGCAAATGTAACCTGCATTTTTACATCTTCATCCTCATGAGTTATTGGACAAATCAGCTGGAGGTTTAACATGATCAAAAAAAATTATTAAACACTGTGAACTGAGTTCTCATGAATACTGTCGTCTGTGAAGTGGGTTTTGTGAATATATAGTAAGACATATATTATGCTGTTTTTCTGCACATGATTAATAATTCTGTTCTGATATTAATGGGTGAGAGTCAGCATCTGCTCGAGAGTGAATGATTTGTGCTATTAAATGGAGCTTCGATGGGTTTTTACAGAGCTTTTTCACATCTTGATTTTCAATCATTTGCACTTTAAAATAAGCTTCTAAATGTCTGTTCAGCAGTTCCTGTTTACCAGAAGACAATTTAGTAATTATGATATTTCTAATTTAGTGGTAAAGCATTTGCAAACATTTTACAAAATACACATACTCCCCAATACAGTGAGAAACATTCTGTTTTACTACCAAATCACATGTAATATCTATAATTCATTTCACTTGCACTAAAAGTTTCCTCATGCCATGATTTTGGTGCACATGAGTTCCTGAACATAATGAATGATGGGATACGCCTGGCCTCGAATACAGCTCTGAAGCGTTACTAGAGATAGTGTGGATTTAGTGTGTTGACAGAATTTTCCATGGGTATTGTATAGATCTAAAGCCTCCCTGTAGCTGAAACAGTAGAGCGAGCAGCTATAAACGCCAAGGTTGTGGGCTTGATTCCCAGGGAACACAAGAACTGATCAAATGTATACCTTGAAAGCAATGTTAGTCACGTTGGATAAAGTTGCTTTACTTAAACATTTGCACTGTTTTGCTCAAAATGAGGCCTGTAGAAGTCTATAACAGTGGTGTACTGAGTCTCGTGTAGCTGAAACTCGATCGATGTGGTCAAAGTCCTGACCGAAACACCACTGGGAGGAATTTGAACAAGCCCAATCTCTGAATGATAGTAGGTCACTTCTGCCATAACCTAACATCAAGTGCACACTTTACAGTCATGGGGTAT